ACAGGCCTGGTTGTTATTCAAACCCAACTGTGGTAGGAGACTAGGGTGTGGAAAGAAAGGCTGGCTGCAGAAGTATGCAGGAGCTGTTAATTACAAGATCCTGGACACACTGGCAGCACAGTTCCCAAAGCCCTGCACCTGTACCTCTCAGGAGAAGTTGAGCGGTTTTTCAACTGGAGGCCTAGCTCTGATGACAGCCTGAGGTGTGGGGTCCTAGCGCCGCCTCTCTGCACCTGTATATAGAGTTCTTGTAGGTTTCCTGGAGATATGATGGAATAAAAGGACAGAGACACCAAGAAGAGCTTGCTATCCTGGCTTTCTCATGACAGCTGCCCTGTGTCCTCCAGGGAGTGCTCTTCATCTTGGTTTTTCCTCTTGTACTCAGCCAAAGCTCACTGCAAAGACAGTTTCTTCTTCCCTCTTCACTTTTACTTTTTCAGATAAACTTTATGTATTAATTACTTTTCTCATTAGTGAAACAAAATACCCAACACCCAATGTTAGGAAAGGCTTATTTAGCTCACAGTTTGCAGGGGTTGCTGCAAGGCAGGCTGGCAAGGCAGAGAGGCATCAGGGAGGAGCAACTGTCCATGGCAAGCAGGCAGGAGACAGTGAAGCCGCAAGCAGCGCACAGTGAAACAGCAGAAGCACCTTCTTCTGTCCTTTTTATTCCCTCCAGGCTGGAAGCCTATTGATTGGTGCCCCTCACAACAAATGCAGGGCACCCTTAACCCCGGCATCACATTATTAATCCCAGCAGCACATCCTTACTCTGAGGATCACACACCATGGATCCAGCCACCTCTGAGAAGCCCCGCGTGTGACTGCATGAGGCCTCGTGGTGACAGCTAGCTATACGCCATAACACTTTGTTACCTCTTTTTTCTAATTTCATTCAATTCTTTGTTGGAGATGAGAACCGGGAATCCAACTCCGAAAGGAGACGAGAGCAACCCAGTAATGTTGATTTGCTGAGTCGTTTTTAAAAGTAGCTACCTGGCAACCCAACCTCCCTGAGTTACAAACCACAAGATAGTGAAGGGTCACTTGAGGAGGTAAAATGAGACCGATGGAGGTCTGTGGCTTCTGGTGAACCCTTCCTGTATGGTTTAGACAGAGTCAAAGCATCTATGCTGTACATTTGGATCTGAAAGATCCCTCAAGAACCTGTATGCTAAACTGCTGGTCACCAGCCCTTGGCTGTACATTGAGGGGTGTCAGAAACTGTAGGAGGCGGGGCAATGAGAAGGAAGTGAGGTCATTGGGGGCGTGGCTTGGCTTGGCTTCCCAGAGGTCCTGAGGTGAGCAGCTCTGCTGGACCCACAGTGATGCTCCTCCTCAGCACAAGCTCCATGCAGCTGGGCCAAGCAACCATAGAATGAAACAGATGAAACCTTGGGCCAAAATAAACCTTTCCTCCTTGTACATTGACTGCCTCAGGTGTTCCATTACAGCTATGGAAAAGCCAACTCAGGATCCCTAATGGCACAGATGCAACAGGAGAACACAGGGAAGGCAAGAGAGGACAGGGTCCAGGGGACCTGTAGGCAGGCTGACCACAGTGGGGAGACAGGCTGTGAGCTTATAGCCAAAGGGGTCCCTGGACTGGGAAAGGGCGGCCTAGCAGGAGCCAGGCCTTTGTGGGCATAAGTGAAGACCACTCAGCGAGAGGACGTAGGGACTGATTCTGCAGAGCTTGTTATAGCAGGGAGTCCCCATGTCCCCTGCGAGTGGTGGAGACCAAGGCAGGCAGGGGACTGACTCTGCGAGGTTGAGACGTGCTATGGTGCAGGCTATGGGCCAGAAAAGCTGCAGGCCTGGGAAGCTGCGGGTGGGGCAGCTGCAGGCTGGCTGCTGTGGTCTAAGTGGCATGGACCCTGGAACCCAGGCTGAAACTGGCCAGCGACAGCCCTCCGCTTCCTCCAGGGGAAGCCGGGCTCAGCTGTGGGGTTGGATGTGCTGTCTCGGGCTCAGAAACTCCAAAGCTGACGGCAGCCTGAGCTGGGACTTCCAGTGTAGGGTCAGGGGTCTGAAGACGGGAGAAAATAGAATAAGGGCCTCAGTAGGTCTTCTAGCTAATCTTGACTAGAAAGAGTTAAGTTAAACAAACTTTACAAGAAAAATTCCCCTGGGAAATGGGTCAAGGGCAGGGTAGAGAAAGAGAGAAAAGCCAGATAAAGAAAGGCAGCAAATGGCCTGGACACTTGCACCAGGAGACCAGAAAAGGAGCTGACAGGCAGGACATGAGGAGAAAGCCAGGAGCACGCACAGTAAGCTGCCCCCGCCTCCCGAATACAGGGGAAGCAAGGGGGGCGGACTCACTAAGGCCGTGGGTACTCACACCTGTGCACGGACACACACTCACGTACACGCGTGCGTTCCCTGTGGGGTCACTGTGTTACTCACTCTCGGGGCATCAGAGAGTACAGTGGACACCCACACATCCCCTTTCTGTCTCTGAGCTAACCATGGGTAAGGCATCCCCTTGCCAACTAGCTGTGCACCCCAAAGATATGGCCTTAAAAGTTACGTCAAGGAAAGTAAATAAACAGACATAAGGTCCATGTAGACCACCGGAAAACATGATGTTAGGCAGAGGTGCCCAAAGGCCAATCCAACGAAGGCAAGTTCTGGGTTGGGGGGGCCTCTGACCCATTTATAAAAACAGCCGGGAACCGAAGGCTGCCGGCTCCTTCATCATTAGGGAGCCCCTTCCCCGGATTCTCTCTTCTCAGGGAAGCTCTCTGTCCTCCCCTCTCTTCCCCTAGCTTTTCATCTTTACAAATAGAGTGCTTTCTGGTATTAAACTTTGTCCCTCTAACTTTTCGTAGGGGCTGAGTTTATAACCCAGAGGGAATGTGTGGACAGCAAACCAGAGGCATTTGTCCCCAGCAGATGTCAGAGCAGCCTCCAGCCTGGGAGCACCTCTGTGATGGTGACAAGGAGCCCCCTCTCTGGGATTCAGCACAGGACTGGCTTGGATGCGCGCTAAGCCGCCTGCTCGGGCTTCCTTCCCTTGGTCCTGAGTTGGCAGCGAGGCGAGGATGAGGGGAGAGGAGGACATGCATCACCAGCGGGGCTGTTGCTGCTGCTGCTGAAGGGCGGAGATGGGCTTTTATACGCGGCCTGGCCACTGCGCCTTTGAATTTTCAGCCTCTCTCCTTCCAACTTGAAAGAAAGTCTCCCGGAAAACAATATGATAACTGGGAGATGTCAAGAGTTTTGAGTTTTCCAATCTACTACCGGGCCTACCTTGCTAAGGACTGGAGGCCATGGGGGGCGTGGTAGGGGTTTAGAAGACATTTCATGACATCTGTGAGACCACCATCCAGTCTATGACTATAAGGGGTTTTTTCTTTTCTTTTTCTTGGATGGGCACTACTGGGGAGTAACCTCAGGGCCTTGGCACTGAGCTACATCCCCAGACCCTGCTTACAGTTGTAATTTTCAGATAAAGGCTCACTAAGTCACTCAAACATGCAGGCTGGGCCTCACTTTGCAGTCCTGCCTCAGCCTCCCACAGGGCTTGTGTTACAGGTGTGCACCACCACACCTGGCTGTCCTTGAAAGACTTCTGTAGGGGAAGGTTGGCTCCTCCCAGAGGGTCTGGCTCCTGGGGGCAGAATGTGGAGACAGGGAGACGAAAGAGGCAGCACCATTATGATGATTCTTGTTTGTCACTGAGACCCTTTGTGGAGTCAAATGCTTGCTTAGGCGCGGCTAAAGGATTGGTTTTCGCCTCTCTTCTGGGAGCAGCAAATTGAAGAAGCCTCTGCTTGGCGGCACATGGCGCTGTGGCTCAGGTGAGGGTCTCTGTCTTTCTTGGTGGGCTCAGCACGGTGGTCGAGCTCCACATCCCCACAGGGACACGTTCTGCTCCCTCTCCCATCTCTTTGGGTTTGCATTGCTCAGCGTCCACTGACTAACACATGCGGCAGGTGGGGCTCCGTAGATGCCTCCTCCGTGTGGACAGGCAGTGGGGAAGGCTGCGCCAGGCGGTGGCAGAAGCGGGCCCCTTGTAACAGGAGCTCCCGGCCCCGGATGTCCAGGCTTCAGGGCTGGTTTGAACAGGGCCTGGGCTGGAGACCAAGAGAAACTGCTGGCTATGAAAGACACATCAGCAAACAGAAGGTCAGCCTGCTGTTGAGTGCCTATCTCGAGCTTTCCCTCCCTGTCCTGAGCCTCCAGGGACAGAGGCCCCGTCCTCAAGTCTTCAAGGGGTTCAGCTCCCACACTGGACAGGAATTGCCCATGACTCCAGGCTGCTTTTGTTCTGTGCTCTGGAACAATCTCCCAGATGCGTGACATGGAGTGGGTGGTGGGAAAAGCCTGGAACACCTCACTGTTTCAGTGAAACCCCCTGGCCTGAACTGAAATACGAATTCCTCGTGCTCAGAGCTGGCGCTGCGGCTCGGTGACACTCGGGCCCCCGTGAACAGAAACAATGTTGAAAAGCCACAGCACTGGAATTGGAAAGCAGTGCTGGGACTACGGTCCCCGCAGATGGGGGTCCAGGGTCGTAGGTCTCCGCCCCTCCCCACAGGGCACCGCCAGCCAGAGCTGCTTCTTGGCCACAGGCTGGATGTTGTGACTCCCCCCTGCCGGAAGCCACCGCAGTAAGCTGACCTTGTGAGATAAGCACAAAAGAAACTTCAAAATGCACCAAGGTCAAATCAACAGCTTTGCCCTAACGAACCTAGTGCTTCTGTTCTGCCACCTTGGACCAGGTTCTGCCTTGATGATGTGCTCCTGGTGACCACAGAGCCCTGAGCCTGAGAGGACGCCCCAGTGCACTGACTGTGCCCTTCTAGCACTCACCGAGACCCGGGGGCCTGTGCGTCTCCCTGCTGTCACTGCGCCCTGTCCACTGAATTGCTGCGTTCTGTTCTCATGGGTTTGGTGGCCTCGTCTGTCATGAGTGCTGGGGACAGTGCCGGCTCCCAGTAATACAGGTGGCCTCTACCTCCTGCCCACGAGAGTGCAAAGCTGTCATATTGTCCTGTGACAATGAAGAGTTAGTTCTGTGTGTCATTTCATGGTGTGGCATCAAGGCTGTATTTTATCAGAAACTAATGCTTCATGCAGAGACAGTGTCCTTCAGTTAGGAAAGATCGGAGAAGAGAGTTCTGACAAGCACCGCACAAGCATGGGCAGCCTGGCACTGGCTTTTCCATCTTGCGGTCCAGAGCACTCCTCTTGGACAGGGACTTTTGAGTTCAAAATGTATGAAAATCCAAGTATGTCAACAGTCTGCAGTGTTCCTTCCACTGCTCTAAACAGGCTTGTAAGCTATACCAGAGGTACAAGCTATATCTGGCTGGTTTTTGTTTTGTTTGTTCCGGTATTAGTAAAGTTCTACCCACTCACAAAAGACCCCAGCTATATCAGATAAAGGGTATAAAAATAACTTCCTATACTAGCTCGGGGCTCAGACTTTGGGCCACACAACACCTCCGGGCCCACTGATGTAATAAAGTTTGGTTCCCTCCACTTCTCTGAGGGCTGCTTGGTAGCTTTGCCTCTAGTAAACCCAAATTTCTGTACGACTCTTGCCCTCCACACATTCAAACTGTTTGGTGGGCTGGGAGGAGGCGACCCCCCTGGGTAACTCTGATTGGCTGAGCAATGCTTTGCTTTTAGATGAGTGTTCACTGAACTGCTCTTGGCTGAGCCTTGCAGCTGACGTTCGGGGGTCCCAGGCCAGCACTGGGGAACTCAGAGACCCCAGCCACCACCCGTCGGTCTCCCTGGAATCCTGTGAGTGTGCTGCCTTTAACTCGGGCTGGGAGGGCCCCTGAGGCACTGGGCACACAGCAGAGTCCTGTGCCTCACCTGCGAGCAAAGGCTGCGCGAGCCGGGTTCTGGGGACCCAGGCTTCTCGTCTTACCCCACCTTGCCCGTAGCATTGCCCAGGCTGCAGGTGGCGTGGGTACAGGACATCTGTCTGCTTCCCAGGAGCTGGGATGTTCAGGCTGAGCGTCAGCCCGGCCAGGAGAGGGGCTTGGCCCCCACTTATCGCCCAAGGTCCTTGGATAAGAGGGAGGCGGCGCTCGGGACTCCCTGGTTGGGCATGGCTTAGGGGATCCTAGGGGACATAAAAGGGGCCTCAAAACAGACAGACACCACCTTCCCTGACAGCAGCACCATGGTCTTCCTTTGGCTCCTGCCCTGCTTTGCCCTCGTGGAGGCCACCTATGGTGAGTGCTGGGACCTGGGCCCGCCAGAGCTGGAGAATGTGGGGAGGAGGGCTAAGCTCCCATGGCCCCCACAGCCAGGCCCTGCAAGACAGCCTGGGACTCTGTCCTCAGGGAGAGGTGAGCCCCTTGGCTTCACCCAGGCCTGAGGGGACCTGAGGCTGCCGGGAGGAGCGGGGTCCTTCAGGGCCTCTTAGCACTCACTCCCTGCAGCAGGAGAGGAGGAGAAGCGCCGGCCTAGCTGGGGTTGGTGGCTCCAGATGCATCTGTGGGCAGGGTAGGAGGTGACCATAGCCCTCTGAAGACATCTAGACCAGGTTTTTATTTATCATGCTAGGCACTTGCTGAGCTTTTGTTTGTTAAATTAAGAAAGAAAGGACAGGTATGGTGGCATGCACATGTAATCCGAATGCTCTGAGAGGCTGAGGCAGGAGGATTATACATTAGTGTCCAGCCTGGGCAATGCAGTGCCTTAGGGAAAACCTGTCTTCTCAAAATTTAAACAATGGAAAAGGGCTGGGGCTATTGCTCAGTGTAATGGCCCTGGGTTCAGTCCCTAGCACCTCTCTCTCTCTCTCTCTCTCTCTCTTTCTCTCTCTCTCACACACACACACACACACACACACACACAGGAAAGGAATAGTTAAAAATATAGCAAATTGGATGACAACTAGCTATATACTATCAAGATTTAGCAAATCTTACCGTTTTGCAGATTTGCTTCAGAAACTTATTTTTGTTGTTTTAATTTTGTTTTTGCTTTTTGAGACAGGATCTCACTTTGTTCCCACTCTGCCCCAGAACTCCTGAGCTTAAGCGATCCTCCTGCCTCAGCCTGCAGGCATAACACTGTGCCCAGCTCAGATGTTTCCTTTATTTCCTGTAAAGGCTTTTACATTTCTTGTTTTATACATAAATAGTTAGCCTGGTCTCTTTCATTGAGTGGATGTCCTGGATAATCTGTCGAAGGAAGATCACTTAGCCTATCTTTTTTGTTGTTCTTGTTTGTTTTTTTTCTGGTGCCAGGAATCGAACTCACGACCTTACGCTTACTAGACAGGCGCTGTGCCACTGAGCTAAATCCCCAGCTCCCGCTTAGTCTGTCTTGATGAAGCCAATATCCTTCCATTCTGACGGAAACACTGGCGTCTCACGCTGAGGCAGTATTTCCGGGGATGGTAGGGGATGCTAGTATATTGAGCACATGCGGAAGAGCGGGAGTCCTGGCAGAATCTCCCGGGCTGGCCCCAGTAGAGCTGCTGGTGACCCATGCTGCCTCCAGAGGCCACGGAGGCAAAAGGAGAGATTTCTTTTTCAAACATAAAAGCAATTCAGCTAGCGCTTTGCTCTGCTCCCTCCTCCTTCCTGTTTTGTGTGTCATTCTAAGCTGGCTCCTACAAATGTACTAAACACATACGCATCTATCCATAAACAAAGATTTAAAATGTTTGCATAAATGGAATCTGCTCTG